GCTACTCCACAGAAGGCATTAGGCACTCAGGAGGGATGTTGGCGGCAGCTGCTCCACCTGCCAATCCTTTTTCTCACTCAATGTTCCCCTTATGGGGATAAAGCCAGATAATGGCTTTTCCTGTCTTTCTCAGAAACATCCAAGTTGATGAGTTTTTTTTTTTTTTTCCTTGAGGTAGGATCTAATCTCAAATTAGATTTAAGTGATCCTCCTGCATCAGCCTCCTAAACAGCTGGGACCACAGTTGAGTATCACCATGGCTGGCCAAGCAGATAAATCTTAATGTGGGATTTCAATTTCTACTTTTCTGCTAAGAAGAAAATTGGTAGGGAAGATCTGCCAAGCCATATGTTCAAAATGTTAAGGCTCAGACAACTGATTTCCTGTCAACTAACCTTTTCATAAACTATTCCCACAAATTTCAGCCTCTCAGAACATTCACGACACAGTTTGGTACGGGTTCACTCTTCCTCACAAACAAGATATCTGTATGACCACAATTTTCCCAAGTATGATACTTTGAACATTTACTTTTTTATCTTTATTGGCTTGTGAGCTTCATTAGTGTACAGACTTTGTTATTTGACTTCTATTTCTAGAGCCTGGCACAGTGCCTGGCAAACATAGTAATTCATCAAATGTCTGGTGAGTGACTGCTTACATGCAAATGCCAGGCAAGGAGGAAAAACATCTGGGCTCAGTGAGCAAGAAGGTTGGTAAATATTTGGTGCTTTTTCTACATTAACTACATGATATCTCCACAATCTCCCACAAACATTAGTTTTTATAACATTTATCATAGTGAGCATCCTATTATGATTTTTCTAGTTCCTTGAAAGCAGGAACTGGGTATTTTCAATTATTTTACCTATTCCCTCACCGAATCAATAAATGACTGAATATCTAAATGAATGAATGATGCACAACTGATTCACAACAATGAATGCTTTTGACCAAACCATATTACAATCTCAGGTCCATTAAAATCTTCTCACAAGCACAAGTCTTCCTTCTTTTTTCATTTTTTTTTCCTTTCTCCCAATACTGGGGATTAAACTCAGGGCCTCACACATGATAGGCAAGTGCTCTACCACTAAGCTACACCTCAAGCCCCTTTATTTTTTTATTTTATTTTGAGACAGCATCCTGGTAAGTTTTCCAACCTGGTTTCAAACTTGCAATCCTCCTAACTCAGCCTCCTGAGTAGCTGAGATTATAGGTGTGTGCCATTGCATCCACCCAAAGTCTGTTATAGAAAGTTCAGTCCTTAGATTGGGTGTGGTGGAAATCTAGAAAACTATAATCCTAGCTACTCAGTAGACTGAGACAGGAGTATCGCAAGTTTGAGGCCAACCTCAGCAATTTAGTTAAACCCTGTCTCAAAATGAAAAATAAAAAGCTTCAATCCCTAATACCAAAAGAAGGAGGAGGAGGAGGAGGAGGAGGAGAGGAAGGAAGGAAGGAAGGAAGGAAGGAAGGAAGGAAGGAAGGAAGGAAGGAAGGAAAAGGAAAGGAAAGGAAAGGAAAGAAGGAAAAAAGGAAGGAAGGAAGGAAGGAAGGAAGGAAGGAAGGAAGGAAGGAAGGAAGGAAAGAAGGAAAGAACAAAACAAAAAAGGTGGGGACAAGTTCAGTCCTTAGAAAAACACTGAGCATAAATTCGTGTTGGCATATAAATCAATGTTCATATAACACCACCAATATCAAGTGCCATAGAAAACAAATAACATTAGGCAGATGCAAAACTGGGAAAGTGTGAACTACAGAAACAAAATAAAACTGTGCCCAGCTCTCCAAAACGGAGCTGGGCACAGTGGTGCACACTTGTAATCCCAGAGACTGAGGCAGGAAGATTGAGAGTTTGAGGCCAGTCTCAGCAACTTAGTGAAGCTCTAAGCAACTTAGTGAGACCCTGTCTTAAAATATAAAATATAAAAGGCTAGGGATGTGGCTCAGTGGTTAAGCTTCTCTGGGTTCAAYCCCTAGTACTCTCTCCAAAAAAAGTAGAAAGTCCAAAACAGAGGAGATAGGGTGTTTTGCAGAATGCAGAAATACCTAAAACTTGTGACTAATTTGGTGAAAATTAACCATGTCAATAAAAGAGATTGCACTGACATCAATGACATGGATCAATTCTGAGTTGCCTGGCATACAGAGGCCAGGGATCTATGCAGGAAATGTGAGAGAAGAAAATTCTATCATGCATAGTTATACATAGTGGCATGTGGTTTGAGAGCAGAGATCAACAGTGGGTAGAGAAAAGCTTTGATTCGGAGGGCAGGGTTTCTCTCTGCTGCAGGGTTTCCTTATAATTACCAATTAGGGTCATAGCTCTGTTTCCTGTGGCAGTTTTTTTCTACCACAGAGAATGAGGTCAGAGCCCTAACCACATAGATCTATAATGCATCTAGGTGATGAAGAATAGCTTCAAATATACTTGGATCATTCCCAGGAGATAGCTGGATACATGTGTGGTATTCTTAGCCTCAGTAGAAAGAGTTTCTCAAAGGAATTAAAGTGTATTCTGACATTAGTTTTTAAATCTCCATTTACATCCTTACATGATGCTAACATTTATATGACTCTTAACAAAAGAGACTGAATATTACTGGATTTAGCAACCTACAGGATGGAGTAGGTCAAACAGGGCCCCACAGACTCTTAAGTTACCAATCACACCATTATTCAGTAGCACTAAGTGTGATACTATATGTGCACATTTAACAAAATTTATTATATACATGAAAGAATTTCTTAAAGAATATTCACCATTCAAGATTAACAAATCACTATTATTTAGATGATGTCAATTTTTTCAGAGAAATTAAAAGCATGCATTCAATTTCACAGTTTAAATTTACTAACTGAAAGGAAAGAGATGTTGGGGCTGAGGTTGTGGCTCAGCGGTAGAGTGCTCACCAAGTATGCATGAGGCACTGGCGCTCAGCACCACATAAAAATAAAATAAAGATATTGTGTCCCCCTAAAACTAAAAAGTAAATATTTTTAAAAATAAGGGAATAGATATATATTAGTCTAAAGAGGGGGTGGAGAAAAGTTTACAGGATGAGTAGAAAAATCAAATATCAGAGAGGGAAAAGAGACATTATTGCATTATTCTCAAGATGAATTAATTATAAAGTTAACTGGAGGTTTTATGAAGACTCCATTACCACCACAGAAAGAACTGCTCCCCTTTTCCCTTGTTTTGCAAAAATTGGAGATCAGGGAAAGTAAGAAAACATAGTCAATTTTCTTGGTTTACATGGTTCTTCAGCTAAAAGGTTTAGAAATGAAAATGAGCAGAAAGCAGACTAGGACTGGCTTTGGGTGGTTCCTCCTCTTAGTGGGTCCAAATACCTGGGAGCTGCATTAAAATAAAAATAGGAAACAGGGAGAGGCATGAGAGGACCAATGGAGCTTCTGCCATGATTGGTGAATGAGTCAGACCTATGCAACTAAGGACCAGGGGAGGCCCAAAGACAGAGAAAGAGAAAAAAGGAACCAGGAATACCAGAAGCACTCAAAGAGTTAGGCTTCCTGGCTCTTGTGTTTAAACTCCCAGTCTGTAGCTCTTTGTTAACAATCCCCTTACATGTGTTCAGACAGAAATGACGCAAGGATGAGGAGCCCTACAGTGCAGGCCAGATGCAAGTTCTGCCCGTTAGTGAAGGCTGCAATACACCTCAGCCAAAGGAAAATTCCAGCTTAGTTGGTTAGGCTGGGACAGCATTTCCTCTGTGTCAGGAACAAGGCTAGGACAGAGGGGCCAGGACTGGGGAAGGTTTTGAGGCAGGTCAGGCTGCAGGGCTTCTTAATTAGAAACAGGAATCAAGGAAAGAGCCTGTGGTGCAGCTGCAGAAAGAAAATCTTATACACAAATTCATGAGACTATTACTTCTGGGGAAAAGGCTGGGATGGAGAGGGGGGTGGCCAAAGGCACTTTAGCCMTGTCCTTAATGTTCACATTTAAGAAAAGAATAGGAATAAGCAGGTAGAGCAGTGTGGTACAGCACACACTTAGCCTGTATGAGGCCTTAGGTTTAATATGCAGCACCAACCAAGAGAAGAGAATGCATTCATATGTTATATGACTGAAAAGTGATTTAAAAAAAAAACTTGAATTTAAGAAAGAAAGGAAGAAAGTGAGAAAGGGAAAGAAAAGGAGAAGGAGAAAGGAAGGCACAATTAACAGATTAAGGTCTTCATGGATGCTGGGCTAAGAACAAACAACCCAAGAAGGTGGGGTTCCAAAACAAGGGAAAATGGCAAGGGATAAAGGTCTCAAATCAGAATCGCCTGGGTCACAGGAGAATCTGATGGAAGAGACAACAGAATCCTGAGATACAACATGTGAGGGGACAATGACCCTTGATTAGCCCTAGCCCATCCTGACAGAGTGAGGCCACCATAATGGCTCTCAMAGAAGAATGCCAGTTCCCTGAACTCGGCCCAGCTCCTCATTCAACCATGTCCTCAGTTATGGAAAAACCTACTGCCCTGGATTCAAGAGATTCAAATGTGGAGAAGGCCTTCCTGTGAACCATCTGCAGTCTCCTGCCCTCTCTCAAACTTTCTACCAATGCTATGCCACCCCACCCCTCTCTTGGCTCAACTGGTTAGCTCCTGAAATAGAAATGGGCACCTCTGCCATATATTCATGGTTTCCCCGAGGATTTCCCTCAGGAGAATCCGGGGGAGGGTGGAGACCACCTTTTCTGGAAGAAGATGACTTCAGAATCTGTGTTCCTGTCCTACGGGCTCAGGTAAGTGAACAGGGAAGGTCACCGCCTAGCTTAGCCGGAGGCCAGCAGCCCTTTTGATTTCTACCGGTTCATCCATCCACACCGCACCCACCACCTTTGCGCCCCTAAGGTTCTGTGGACGATTTGCTGTGGGGGTCTCTGAGAAGATGGGGACCAAGAAGTACCCCTTCGGAGATTAGGCGGGAGGCGAGGGGTGGGGGGAGGGGAGCTGGGGAGTGGGAGGAGCAGGACAGTTACCTCATTGAAGCCCTCCTGCAGGACGTCCAGTAAGTTCCCACGGGTCAGGCAGGCTAGCATTGTTCCTGCCGGGGGCTCCCCGGGCGGGGTCTCCAGCCGGGCGGCTGTCGCCGCCGCCTCCTCCCTCTGCACACAAAGGCTCTCAGCTCAGCTCATTGGGATCTCTCTGGAGTCCCGCATGCCACTTACTGGAAACCTAGACCCCGAGCCAAACTAGAGGTTTGCACTGGGCATGCTCACGCGGGGGCCTCTGCCGGAGGGGCCCGGCGCCGCCGTGGTTCCTATAGAAACAGCTGGGCGCGCACTGGATGAAGGGGCTGCAGGCGGGCCGCCCCAGGCCCGGCGTTCGGCGTTCGGCGTTCG